CCCCAAAACCCCAAAACCCCAAAACCCCATACAGCAAAATTATTAATAATTAAGTCAATGATTAAATTAACAAGCATTTTCACTTTTAAGCTAATTCAACCTATGATTGCATCACATAAAGCTCTATTAGTTCATAATTTTACCGTCTTACTCGATTCCTCTGATCTTCAACATAAAAAGCTAAGATTGAGACCTTTCAAAGCTACAACTCTTGAGTTCCTCAAGATATTTATATTATTCTTCTTCGCCTTCTTCAAATAGTTTTCAATTCATTTCTAATTTGCATATTTTGCTTTTAGCCAACGAACTCAAGCGAGTGTATTCATATTATTGCTAATTTTAGTAATTTTTATGCAACTCAAGGGTCATTAAACCGATTGATGATTTATTTCGTTAGCACTACTAAGATTTAAGTTGGGAAGCAGGATGAGTGCTAGCAATATTTATGGAAGCAGCTACTTATTTTAGATTTTAGTAAGCCTGATTTTGTGACTAAGAAACCTATTTCCTATATCATTTTAAATTGCAATTCACTCTATGCAATGGATAATTCAGCCAAGGCGATTTGATTTGGCACTTTCTAATTTTTCGTGATTGCTTTATTTGAAGTCTCGGACTAATAGGGGGATCAAGATCGGTCTAAAGTTTGCTTCTGATAATCAGAGAGGGCAAAATTTAAATACTTCTCGATTCCCCGTTTAGCCATTAATTTCCTAATTGGTTCAAATTTGTCCAAGTAATTTTGGAATTAGTAGTAAATACATTAGATAGGTGAGGCCGAGAATTAATTTTCCTCATGCCACGAAAAGCCAATTAAACTATTAGTGATTTAAATAAATCCAATGGGGAGGTTTCACGAATTTTCAAGTTTGTACAACCCTACTATTTTATAGCAATTTATTTAGATCTAATTTACAAATTCATCAAAGCATGAACTTTGATTCTGCTGAGTAATCAGGAGTATCAGGATTGAATAATTTCAATCCCAAGTATTGGATATGTAATGGCTTAATATGGAGGTTATTGGTGGGTGAACTATCACCACGTAATAATTGAGACTAGTTGAATTATCAAGTGTTAAGACTTTTATTATTGATTTGACTAGAAATAGCAAATCAATTTATCTCTCAACCACCTTTCTCCATAAAAATCGTTGTAAATCTACTAAATTGCTTATCACTATTTCTACTAGCAAAAGTTCTTTTGTATATTTTTTCAATATAATTATAAAAATGGAGCAAAAATATTTTTCCTAGAGGGGTTTTGGGGTTTTGGGGGCATTGAGGGTGATGACTAAGT